GAAACACCACAAAAATGCAACATATAGTTGTTTTCCTAATAACAATACTATTTTCCAAACAAAAAATTTACATTTCTTTTCCAAAGATAGACAAAACTTCATAAATTACTGCACATCTCCAAACTAACCTCTAGACATATTTCAACAGTAAAGAATAACAGTGCTTCAAATATTACAAATAGTCAGCTTCTCTGAAACACAGAAATACTTCTTCACAAAAAGCATATAGACTTCCAATACATTTTATCAAGTTTCTCCCAGTGACACATTCATCACATTTTCCAATGACTGTTCTCTAACACTGTTTCAAACTCTAATGCAATACCCCCAGTAGACACCCTCAGACACTGTGCCACAGAACCTCTACCTTCTGTGATTGCCCAGAACCTATTCCACTACGAAGTTTCAACATCAAGGTGCTGAGTGTTGAGACAAAGAGACGGAGATCAGAGAGTGAGTGACAAAATTCACAAAAAAAAACAATTTTTCCACTCTATCTCTCTATTTTTATATATATTAGTCAAACATGAGCAGTTTTTGGCTTATTTCTCTAACTTATAGTCATAGAATATGTAAGTTCCCATAATTACACAAGTCAATTTCATCATCTATTTCCTATTACCTTAAAAATTAGTATATCACATTCATTGAAAGGCTCTAAGGATGCAATGCAGAATTAATTCCCATATTCTGTTACAGTATGTCAAATGCTTAAATGATATTTGATAATGATTTATCACATGCAACAGGCAAGATTCTTTAATTTGTATGAATGAAATGTTCATGCTAATGAATTCCATGCTAATATGATATTTATTTTTTTAATTCATGTTCATACATCATAGTGAATATCTTCTCTTTAGCTTTTAGATAAAGAAATTCAGCTTTCAGTTTCATATATTGCAACTGTTGAATGAAGTCTGAAGTTCTGCAATCATTCTCAGATTTTTTTTCCACATATTCCACTGCTTAATTAGAAAGCATATCAAGTCATAGTCAAACTGAAAAAAAAAGGTTTTCTTCTTCTTTATTTTTTGCAAAACCTTTGTCAAGGCTA